CCGGGGATGCTGCTGTTGCTAGATCGAGGCCGCCACCGCGGTCGCGCCGCTCCTCGTCGCAGTCGACGAGACCCCCGTGCCCCGTGCAGGTGCGGGCATGCGCCCGTGCCCTTGTGCGCGCGAGAGATGCAGAGCGACGACGCCGAGGAGCGACGCACGGAGCCACCGAGAAGGCTAGACGGGGTTCCCTAGCTCTGCGCGGCCGGCGGCGGCGCGCCTAGATGCGGGCGACGATGGAGCGCGTGCGGCGGCGGCGCGGCCTGCTGCGGGCGGGCGTGGGCGAGGATGGGGCACGTGCGGCGGCGGCGCGGCCTGCTGTGGGCGGGCGCGGGCGCAGGGCGGGCGCGATGGCGGCGCAGCCAGAATCACGAGAGCGGGTTTTGTTTTCTTCCTGGAGCGACGTTTCTTTTCTTGCAAGGGAGACGGACGGCGTAGGGGGCGCGGAGCGAGATTTCTTTCCTGCCCGGAGCGACGTTTCTTTCATGCACAAGGGAGACGAGCATGAACGCAGTTGGAACGTCGCACCAAAACGATGTTCACTCTTTAGTTGTTTTAAAGATAAGAGATATTGGAGATTTTTTTCTTCGTAAAATTGACGTCAACAACTTGGTAATGAAATAAAGAGTCAAGGCTCAAGAAGGAAGTTCTCATAAAAAAAATTGTTCTCTTAGTAAAAGGTACCTCAACAACTTGGTAATGAAATTTTCATAGAGAAGAGTCATCAGAATGTAAAGGCCCATGATGAAAAGGAAAATCAACGAAACCAGACCTCGGACGAGCGCGGGCAAAAAATCATACATGCTCACGGGGACAGGGGAAAAAAAAAGAGCGCTCGCACGAACACGGAAATAAAAGGGACACGCTAGGACGGAGACGCTCACGTATCTCGGACGGATTTAGAAAACAGATAACGCACGCATGCATTGTGGGTTCGGACGCACACGAAAAAACAAAGAAAGTCGCCTGGGCTTAACCGAGAAATTCCTGAAAAGAAAAAAAAATAAGAAACTCTTCTTAGTTTAATGTTAGGGCAAGATATTTTTTTTAATTTCTACTTTAATCATTTTCTATTTGGACTAAGATTCTTACCCATCTTACTCATGATCAGATAGATCTATTTGATTAGAATTCCTAACTATCCAGGTTACACAAAAACCTATGTCCAAGCAATGCATGTCATATAAAATAGGAGAGGTCATAGACAAACAAACAGAGATAGTTTCACGTTCACGGAGTTAGTAGAGAGCCGGACCAAAAAAAAAGGAAATATTTTTTGGCACTTTAATATTTGTAATAATAGATATAAGTTTAGGACGACCAGAACCTCATAACATGAAATATGTTGGGTAATTAGAGCATTCCAATAATACCCAATAATTTCTTCCAAAAAACATGGTGTTTTCTAACTTCCAAAAAAGTATTGGAAGAAATAAATAAAACCATCTCCTACAATTTACAATAATTCACTCCTTGCATCTACATTGCCACCGCTGACCTGCACAGTTCTACCGACTCGGGCCAGCCCCTAGCCGGCGGCAGCCAGCCACCAGGGCACCCTAGCCGGCCGCCAGTGCCTCCCATCCGGCAGCCAGCCTCGCCCAGCTGCCATGAGGAGGCCACAGCCGGCCGCCAGCCTCTCCCGGCCGGCCACAGCTGGCTGGGAGCGTCTTCCGACTGGCCACGGTGGCGGGATAAGGTACGAAGAAGAAGGCCCACGGGAAAACTCAGCGCGAAGAAGGAGACTGTGCGAGGAAACTTAGATACATGCGACCTAGAGTCCGTGCATCTTTACGCGTGTGGGGTTTTTTTCCAAGTGCTAAAAGATTGGGAGGTGAGTTTGGGAGTTATCGGAGATGAGCTTTTTTTTCATTTTTGCCAAAAATCATGGATTGGGAAGGTTTATTGGGTATCGTTGGAGATGCTCTTAGTTGGGTGGATTTTAGTAAAGGATTAAAACATTTATCCTGTTAGGAGTGACCATGTTATGCTGGTTGCTTTGGTTACACAGAAATGGTTTATTGTTTGAAAAATATATATTATTCTTCCTTTGCAAGTTATACATTCAATCATCCACTGGCTCTATATTTAGCCTATTCTTCATAAATTGGATTCACAAGGGTTTAGTTATGGTGGCTTCGCAACCGTTGCTGCTAGTGGCTAATTAAGGACTTCTTTTTTAGATATATCGGTGACGGACTAATATATGGATTGATGATCACTATAATGTTTTCTTCTTATTCTCTTTTTGTTGGCCATATGTGCTTCTTGTTAGGCAGAGCTTGGAAGAACTTCTTCAAAACCGTGTATCAATATCAACTTGATGTAGTGCGCGCGCTACTGATTTTATTTTTTAATAAAATCCTAAGAAAACCGTGAGGCCGAAGTAACGTCCTCTCTCATGAACTCAGTGACAACCATTTTCGTCGGCATTCACATTCACGTATGCCTTCCAACCGCCTCTCCTTGATTCTCTCTATCTAAAACAGATTCATCATTATCCAAAGAGCACGAACGCAATCGGTGGATGACTCATCCTTATTCGAAACGAAAGACCGCTCCGAATTTTAAAACTTTGCTGCGACCCCGCCCATTTCCCTCTCGCCCGTCTCTGACTCTTATCGATCTACTAGCTAGCTCTCTCTATATATGTTGCCCACTAGTGTGCACCCAAACCCATCGCGCAGCACCACGTTAGCTAGTGGTTAGGTCTCCCTCCCAACAATGGCGGCGTCCCCGTCCCATCTCCTCGTCGTCCTCGCCGTGTTGCTGTTGTGCAGCACCGCCATCCCCATGGCCTCCTCCTCCACCACCACCACCGTGAACGTGACCAGCTTCGGCAAGGCGTACACAAAGGTCTGCGACGCGGATCGGTTCGCGGAGATGGGCCTCAACATGTCGGCGTTCCCCTACTGCGACGCGTCGCTGCCGTACGCGGACCGGGTGCGCGACCTCATCGGCTGGATGACGGTGGAGGAGAAGGTCGGCAACCTCGGCGACATATCCCACGGCGCGCCTCGCGTCGGCCTGCCGCCCTACAAGTGGTGGTCCGAGGCGCTGCACGGCATCTCCAGCACCGGCCCGACGGCGCTGTTCGACGACCTCCACAGCAAGCCGGGGAACCACTCCGGCCGCGCCACCGTCAACAACGCCACCGTCTTCGCCAACGTCATCAACAGCGCCTCCTCCTTCAACGAGACGCTCTGGAAGTCCATTGGACAGGTATATATGTGTACATTTCGATCGATCTTCACAATAATGTTTTTCTTTTGTGCTGCCAACGTTACCATGTCTCAATAGAAACATGCATATGTATGTACATCACAGATCGGCATTGCATCTGTACGTGTTATTTGCATTTCGATTTCCGTCGGCATTTCGAGCGTTTGTAGCTAGATCAAAACATTAGATCTACTATATACACTAATAGCAGATCTGATGGTATATGGATGAATGCAGGCTGTTTCAACGGAGGCACGTGCGATGTACAACCTTGGCAAGGGCGGGCTGACGTACTGGAGCCCCAACATCAACGTGGTGCGCGACCCGCGGTGGGGCCGCGCCCTCGAGACCCCCGGCGAGGACCCCTTCGTCGCCGGCCGCTACGCCGTGAACTTCGTCCGGGGCATGCAGGACATCCCCGGCCACGACACCGGCAGCGGCGGCGACCCGTCCACCCGCCCTACCAAGACCTCCGCCTGCTGCAAGCACTACGCCGCGTACGACGTGGACGACTGGCACAACCACACGCGGTTCAAGTTCGACGCGCGCGTCTCGGAGCGCGACATGGCGGAGACCTTCCTCCGGCCCTTCGAGATGTGCGTCCGCGACGGCGACGCCAGCAGCGTCATGTGCTCCTACAACCGCGTGAACGGCATCCCCGCCTGCGCCGACGCGCGCCTCCTCTCCGGGACCATCCGCGGCGACTGGCAGCTCCACGGCTACATCGTCTCCGACTGCGACGCCATCCGCGTCATGACGGACAACGCCACCTGGCTCAACTTCACCGGCGCCGAGTCCAGCGCTGCCTCGCTCAGGGCGGGGCTCGACCTCGACTGCGCCGAGAGCTGGATCGAGGAGAAGGGCAGGCCGCTCGATCAGGGACTTCCTCAGCGAGTACAGCAAGGCCGCCGTCGCGCAGGGCAAGCTGCGCGAGTCCGACATCGACAGCGCGCTGAGGAACCAGTACATGACGCTCATGAGGCTGGGATACTTCGACAACATCCCGCGGTACGCCTCCCTCAACGAGACGGACATATGCACCGACGAGCACAGGAGCCTCGCCCACGACGGCGCAAGGCAGGGAATAGTGCTCCTCAAGAACGACGGCAACCTGCTTCCTCTGGACCCGGAGAAGATCCTTGCCGTCGCCGTGCACGGACCACACGCCCGGGCACCTGAAAAGGTCATGGACGGCGACTAGACAGGTCAGCATATGCAGTGTATCAATCAGGTAGTGGAAAGGGCGAAAGGCCGGCCGGCGTGTTCAGACTTCAGAGTTATAATGATCGATACTCATGCATTCGTATATGATCTGCAGGACCGCCATGCCGCTACGTCACGCCGCGCCAAGGTATAAGCAAGCACGCGAAGATCTCGCACAGGGCGAATACGACCATCTACTTGGGTGGCATAAACCTTCACATCGAGAGGGAGGGAAACGACAGGGAGGATCTTCTCCGATCCTACCCAAGAACCAAACAGAGGAGATCCTACACTTCGCCAAGGCCTCACCGAACCCGATCATCCTGGTCATCCTGTCGGGAGGCGGCATCGACGTCTCCTTCGCGCACAAGCACCCCAAGATCGGTGCCATCCTTTGGGCTGGGTACCCTGGCGGTGAAGGCGGCAACGCCATTGCTGATGTCATCTTTGGAAGATATAACCCAGGTAAATAAGTGCAAAGACCATACCACTTCTTTCTTGTGCATTACTATCACACTAATTATTTATTGTCCAATAATGTTGTTTTATCATTTTTCTGATTGAATGATGAAAAATAGGTGGAAGGCTGCCACTGACATGGTTCAAGAACAAGTACATCCAGCAGATCCCCATGACGTCCATGGAGTTCCGGCCAGTGCCAGAGAAGGGGTACCCCGGCAGGACGTACAAGTTCTACGATGGCCCGGAGGTGCTGTACCCCTTCGGCTACGGCCTCAGCTACACCAAGTTCCACTACGAGACGAGCACCGACGGCACCTCCGTCACGCTCCCGGCCACCGGAGGCCACTGCAAGGGGCTCAGCTACAAGCCCAGCGTGGCTACCACCCCATCCTGCCAGGCCGTCGACGTTGCCGGACACGCCTGCACCGAGACCGTCAGCTTCAACATTAGCGTGATCAACGGCGGCGGGAGGGGCGGCGCCCACGTCGTGCTGGTGTACACGGCGCCGCCGCCGGAGGTGGCCCAGGCGCCGATCAAGCAGGTGGCGGCGTTCCGGAGGGTGTTCGTGCCGGCCACAAGCACCGCGACCGTGCCCTTCACGCTCAACGTGTGCAAGGCGTTCGGCATCGTGGAGAGGACTGCGTACACCGTCGTGCCCTCCGGCGTAAGCAAGGTGCTGGTCGAGAACGGCGACTCGTCGTCGTCGGTGTCGTTCCCAGTCAAGATCGACTTCTCCGTGTAGCGCATGTTTAATTTCTCGTTGCGATGTTTTACGAAGGATCTGTCTAGGTGAGGTTGAGTTGTTTTGGTCTCTCCTGTCAGCTGAAATTTTTCTCGTACATTTACACTGTCTTCTAGCTATATTTACACAGTTTTATTACTATATTTATAATGATTTGTTCAGTGTAATTTATTGAACAGAATGATATAAGTTAGAAATAACACAAATATATGTCAAATTTTTATAAAAATTACAAATTATTTCTATGGATTTCAGACATCAAAGAAATATATGTCAAATTATTCATAAATTCTTCACAAATTTTAAAAATAATACAAAATCTTCACAAAATTTCGAAATGTCGTGCCACGCTGCCGACACCGGGGAGGCGTAGCATCCGGCCTCGGCTGGTACTGCAAGATATGGTACTGCCACATCTGCTGTTGCTGCGGCTCCGTCGGCATGAGTTGCTACAGCTGCTTTATCATCATCGCCGATGAGGTTGTGGAGGGGAGGCCGACGCGTGGGCCGTACCCCGGGCTGCACACGTGCTGTGGCATCTGCGAGTCCACTCAGAGACGAGACAAAACGTGATCGATCAGATCCAACACTCGAAGGGCGGGGGCGGCGTGACGCAGGCGGCAGCTCTTGGGCCGGAGTCAGATCCAACGCTGAAAAATTCGGTTGACAGTGACAAATAAATCATACGGTTGACCTATAGCGTTTCCGTTTATGAATTATTAGGAATTAGGATCTGTTTTCGTCTGTCCGCGTTCAGCATCCAGCTGAAAACGAATGGAGTTTCCGTAACACTCGTATCGAGTTGAATCATTGGCCCCGTTCGCTGGTCTGAAACTTAGCTGAAACTGGCTTGTTATTGTGAGAGGGAAACACTGTAGCGGCTGAAGCTGGCTGGTTGTTGTGAGGAGGAGCAGCCGGCTGGTCAGCCGGACCAGACCAGCGAACGCGCCCGTTGTGTTCAGTTTCTGAAAAGATACCCGGTGTTCATATCTGTACTTGAATAATGCTACGGACTTGCTAGCGCATCCGGACGCTACTCGTACATGGAGTGAGTGAGCGCCTACAGCGTCGGGCTCATGAGCGAGCGCAACATCAGTGGGCCTGCACCACTCCGGACGTCGCCCACGCCGCACTGAACGTCGTCCACGCCGCCAGCCGCTTGCCACGCGCATCTCATGTGCAACACCCGATCTACTTTTGAAACATCCAGTCGCAACATAAAAAAAAGACACATAAAACACTTGAAACAAGCGTCTGAAACACTTACGAAAACGTCTGAAAAACATTTGAAAATCATTGCAAACATATGCAACATTCAGATAAAACACTTATAAATATACGTATGAAACACCTGAAAACAATTAAAACATATATTTGCAACATGCGTGTATATGCAACCTCCAAATCCACTTTTACAACATCCAGATAAACCGCTTGCAACATTCATCTGGAGCAGATGAAACATTTGGGATATACACTAGAAACATATGTGTATAACCATTGCAACATGTGTAGCATCCTGATCTACTTTTGCAACATCGATATACAACGCTTGCAACATACCTCTCAAACTTTTGAAACATTTTGAATTGTACATTTGCAACATGCATCGTATCTCGGTGCAGCCTCCTCCGCCGTCTTCATCGCGGTGTTGGCACACCGCAGCAGTAGCAGGAGACGAGGTCAGAGGGCTTCCGTGCGAGGGCATGTCACTTCTCCTTGCGTTGGCGACGCCTGTCAGCGTCGTCGGGCGGGGCGGGCGGCGAAGCAAGAGTAGTGTCAGGAGCAGCGGGGTGAGCGCGCGGAATAGGAACAGAAGCAGCAAGTTGGGCAGCGGAGCAGGAGCAGCACGCGGAACAGGAGCAGAAGGAGCGGGGTGGACGGCAGAGCAGGGGCGAACAGTAGGGTCAACGAAAGGGATGGATCCGGAAGGTTTATTGGGCTAGGACGCTAGCCCTACGTCCGGACGGGACAGACATCCTGCGTACAACATTTCCGATAACACTACTGAAAATCAACAATTAGCATGCTCATTCTTTTCTTTTCTTTTCTCAAGATAACAGAGACCTTTTTACCGGTTTCAACTTTCAACTTTTTTTTTCCAAAGAAGCAGCATCAGTCAACTTTTTTTTTCCAGTGATTTAAGTTTGGGTGTCAAATAAGAGATTTTTTCTAGTGTCAAATAGAAAATTTTCTCTCAACTATAGGTGGAATATTTGCAGCATTTCTTGATGTGCCAACAGATTATTAAGTAGCATCCTTTCGTATCCTTAACCAAAATCCTTGCTTGTCATCCAAATAAAATCGGAGGGTAGAGAAATAAAGTCTGCACTCTGGACATGCGGTTGAGGGAAAGGAAAAACAATTATTGATCAAAACTATGGCCCGTATAGTTCATTCAAGCTCCAGATAGTTCTAACATCAGAATCAGAATTCTATATTCTTCATGATGACGCTGTCAAGCACTGCCCACCGCAGTCAGCCGTATTACATGCAAGAAGATTCTGTACCCTCCAAAGAATAATCCATCTTTCACAATGAACAGATCCAATATGCACGAAATTTGGTGGAGATATGCATCTATGCGTATACTATGGTCGTTCTACACGAGTTTAGCTTATATCCATGGCTTCGCCAACAAGTTTTACGTTGTACTCCAGTCCGCAACGGCATTTGACAGGATCCGAAATCCCCTGCATGCAGGAAATGAAATTCACATGTTAAAATTGCTAAGAAGAGGTCCATGAAGCATGGCCATGAGTAAAGCAAACTGAATAATTCCTAATTGTTTTAGTCATGATGCGGCATCCAAACTGAACAGCACCAAAGTACCTTCATCCCATTAATTGTTTCATCAAGAGTCTGGAAGTACTCAACTTCCCCAGATTTATCACCTTGAAGTGCTTTATATTCCTCCTCCAAGGACTTCATATCCATCTGCTGTAGTGCAGCCTGCAAGCACCAGATGACAATGCATGTGGGAAGAATTTAACATGATCAATGTTTAAACATGAGCAATGAAATTACAGGAAAGCCAGCAATTATGTTTTTCTCTTGCTCTAGAATCTGCTTGATCTGCAAAGTATATTCATGTCTGTTAGTTTCACTAGGTACATACAATAATAAAGAATCTTAGGTCCTAATTGATATACTTTGCTGATTTCTAAAAGAAGCGCTGATCTCTGTGATTTGATGTCTTGTATCTTGAGCTGAGCTGACACCAGTTGAGTGTAGAGTTTCCTGTGCTTGTTCCGAGGATCACTTTCCTGTTTGATTGAAAACTGAAAAGCACATCACAATTTGCATAGTTGTGGGAATGGAGGAAGGGAGGGGTGTGAATACTAACAAACTTATCTAGGCTCCCTACTGAGTTAAACATGACATGTTTCTCCCCTGCAAGTAACACCACATCGAAGTTCAGTCGAAGTTACAAAATTTTCAGTTTGATGATTTGACTAGCTACTCATCTGTGTTTTGCCTAATGTTGTATCCATACATGTGGAAAGGCAAGATTATGTAAATTTCAATAGTCCTTGGTAGGAGGGGGGAAAGAAAAATTACTAGTTTAACAGCCACACAATGTAAACAATAATAAAATATGTCACACTGGAAATGTACCCTGTGCAATAATCTCCTCATATGTGGAAGCATGTCAACATGAATACAACACAGGCATAAAATGGCATGGAACGACACTAACTACTTCCTCTGTTTTCGGAGAAACCAGTACCTTCAATGAAGTTTTGCTTGCTCTGAGATTTGGCAACCTGCATGCGTAAGTTCCAACACTTATTAAACATTGTGTGGCTGCTTCATGTTACAAGCCATTAGAAAATGGAAATGACTTGACAGATATCCATGTTATGTGTTGAAATTATTCTGTTTCAGGCAACTATGCAAGAGCTGGGTAAAAATGCACAAACAGATGCACTAGAAAATACTTCCACTTGCGGCAGTTGACCCTAGGGTACCATTGAATTAGGAACTGCTCCATAACTGAAATTCTGGAACTCTCAGTGCAAGTGTGAACGCACCACCAGGAACTTAAGACATAACAGAATGGCTGAACTTTGTGGACAAAACACACTGGTACTTGATATGTTTTCCTGCCATTCTTTGACGTGAACCTAAATTGGCCATTTCTGTGGTTTCACAAAGATCAGATAATTTTTGTACAGTTTTGTTAGAATTAAGGCTAGGAATCAATCTATGCAAGGCATCAATCATCATCAAGGATTGACTGGGAAAAAGTGTCAGTCTAGGATCCAAATATGTAGAATTTATGTTGGCATCTGACTGTGCATGGTATGGTAATTTTGTTACATGTTGTGACTCTATATGTCTAGAAGTGAGATACATGAAAAAAGTTGAGCACTGCAGGAAAATGACTAATTTACGACACTTTTTATAATGCTAAGTTCACTTGTTTGTATAACACTGTTCCTGAACAAACAAATGATGAGATTTAATGCGCTTCTTGATGGAAGTTTTATCAAGATTAAAATTAAGTTCCAAATCCAAAATTGACACCCCACATTCAAGATCTCATTAAACTGATAAAGTAAGTTCAATTTGAACGTGGAGTTCACACGAGTAAAAACAAAGTCTACAAATAGTTTTAATACCATCATGATCTTCAGTTATCAATGTTCCCATGCTCACTGAGCTTTAGACTGCCCTCTTACTCTTACTACAATTCTCAAGATCTTATTATCCAAATAAAAATAACATATTTAAATAAGGATCGAACATTAATGAAGTCAGTTGACTGTAGGTCGTGGTAGTTTCCCTCTCTAGCATAGGTGCGAATGTAATTTTATAACTGGATAAAGTGTGTGGCGTGGGTGTGTTTCAAGGGTTTCTTTACCCCCTTTTTCTCTTCTTAATATTAAATATATGCAGCTCTCCTGCGTTTTCAAAAGAAAGAAAAAAAGCATAGAGCTCCTGCAGACAGGGGTGGCACCAAGCTGAACCTATAGTTGAAGCCTTAAGCCATCATTACTGCTGGTTCTCAGTTGTCACTACCAATGTTTTTGAGGCGCCGCGGCGAGTCGCGGCGCCCGACCCCCTTCACAACGCCTAGGCGACGCCATACACACGTTGTAAGGCGCTGTAAGCTAGAGTTTTATATAGTAAGTGCAGCACATACATACCTGGTTTGTTCCCAATTCTGGAGCCCAGGTTCCTTTCTTCCCTTTCCAAAAGCTCTTCTCCCATGTAGCATCCATCCCCCTTGAAGCAAACTACATGACAATTCCAAAATTCAGCAATCTATGACATGAAGAAATGTAAATGAACATGTTACATTGTTACCAGCTGCTGAGAATTAAATAAGAAACAATACACAAGAGGCAATACAACAAATTAGCAAGCATTAGTGGCTTAGTGCATTAGTTCATGCATGAGCATGACAAATGACATCATAGTTTGTCTCTAATAGTCCACAAACTTAGAGACTGAAAGTCTGAAGTACTGGACTCTAAAGCATTCTAATTACTAGTCAACTACACCAAAGCCATACAACATGAGTGCAGGACAAGGGTGTAGGACACAAAAGGGCTGAGTGCAAATCTCTGTTTCAGCACTCAAAATCCATCATCAAACTCATCAAGATCAGCAGCGTCGTCTTGATCAGTAGCAGGAACATTGCCAGCTTCTTCACACTCGCTCACTTCGCATCATCATGTGGGTCTTCAACTTCGTCTTCCTCTTCATCATCTTCAGCAGCAGCAGCAGCAGGAACATTTCTGGGCGTCTATAATACTGAACAGGAGCAGCAGCTCTCCTAGGAAGGTTACGACCCTGCAGCGCTTGTGATGCACCGATGGCTTCATCAACATGCTGCCATGTGAGGTCATCAACAGCATCGAGACCTCGAGCACCCGAAACAGGCACATGCAATGAATCAGCCCATTCATTGTCCCAATCGAACTCCTCAATGACCAAGGGGTCATATTTCTTGCCTGCCTTCTCACGCCTAAGCTGAAACCTTGTTCTCATCTTCCGATTGTATGAAACAAAGACAATATCATTCAATCTCTTGTGCAGCAGCCTATTCCTTTTCTTTGTATGCATCTACAAAAAAAATCAGATGGGAAGCAAAACAAAAAATCAGATTGTATGCATCTAAATATAAACTGTTAGTCACAAGGATACTCACATGACTGAAGGTACTCCAACATCTCTCACATCCTGAGGATGAAGCACAAAGACTAACTATACGCTTAGCAAGTCTTTGTAGTTCAATGGCTCGGCCACCATAAGAACGCCACCAATCAACTGGATGAAAAGGACAACACATATTAGGTGTTTGGAATGCAATTAAGTTGCTGAAATTTACAAGCTGAGATAAACAGCACTTACGAGGATTCATTTTGTCATAGCTTTCCTTTGCCATTTTGTTTGAGAAGGCTTCTCCACGTTGCTCTTCATACTCAATGGCCTGCCTATTGATCTTCATTTGTGTTTCCACATCTGGTATCATTCTTCCAAGCACTTCAATAAAACAACCTCTTAGCTGCCCAACAGTGACATCATCATTAGCTTTTATCAGAGGAAAAAAATTTCCCGGGTTCAAATATAGTGCAGCCCCATACAATGGATGGTCCATTTGTTTCACCCAACGCCTCTCAATAATTTCCATGATCTTCTTGAGTAGGCCATCCTTGGTTGGTATATTGAAGCTTTGCTTTATCCTCTCTTTTGCATGATTCATTAGAGCCCATACCTCTGGCATTGCAGGCTTCTCATCACCATCAACAGCCCTCAAAACAATTAAGAGTGGGGCTGAAGCTCTTAGGCAATCTTCTACTGAGTTCCAAAACTCAGTAGATAGCACAATGTCTTGCACTTGTTGACCTGCTGCAGTTGTACACAAGTTGTTCCCAGTCCATGCTTCACTAACAAACAAGCTCTTCAAGGCATCCTTGTTCTTGTACAAACTCTTCAATGTCAGAAATGATGTGGCAAATCGAGTCTTTGCTGTCCTAACAAGATCAGTCCCACCTGTTTGAGCCCTCATTGCACTAAGAAGCCTTCCATGCCTATAAATGGAGTTGGTGACATGCTTAGCACGTGCAATAGGTTTCTTGAATGCCTTCAAGTTCCCAATTTCTTCCAACATCAGATCCAAGCAATGTGCAAAGACAAGGACTCCAAAACAGTGTGGGAATCCTATCCATCAAGATCTTACCAAAGAGCCTTATAGTTAAGCGCCATTGTCGGTCACAACTTGAACAACATTGTCCCTTCCAATGTCCTCAATCTTCTCCTCGTAACAAATCAGCTAGCATTGTTGCACTATGAACTTCACTTGATGCATCAACCGACTCCGTAAAAATCGTTCCCTCGGGGTTGTTCACAAGAAAATTAATCGGTGGCGCCTCTCATATCACCATCCATCCGACATTAGTGTACAACCATATTGCTTCCAGTGCCTGCTCATGGTCCTTCCTCATGTCACTTGTCACCTTAACACATTCTTGGAGCAAAGGGTCACCAAGTCATTTGGTTAGTTGGAGGCTTGTACCTGAACCATATTGGTCATTTGTTGCCTCACAAGCAATTTCAAATTGCCTTGAATTTGTTTGCATTAAAGGCTACACCACACTCCATGAACCACAAAGCCCATTGCATATCCACATATTGCTTCTCCTCCTTAGTCTTTGTGTCTTTGGACTCAATGGTGGGTGAAAGTCCTTTGCACGCCTTTGATCTACTATCTCTGCTCGTGTGTTCTTCTAAGCATACCAACAACCGACTTTGTTGCATTGGTCTTTGGTGTCTTTGGTGTAGAATTGACAACGCTAGTCATGTTGAAGCCTTGAATTGGAAGATAGCATGCCTTTTCTTAGCGGCTGTCCCGAACTTGGTTTTTTGCGACCACTTTTGGTGTGGCATTTCATTGTTCTTTGCTTGTACATCTGCAATTGCTACCTCCACAATTTCATCTTCTCGTTCCCCATCCTCCTCAATACCATCCAAGTACAAAGGCCTTCTTCTCTTCTTTTTTTGCAAGTAAGCTTCCATCTCTTTCCGATTTCGATTGCTAACTTTTGGACAAAGGATAATATCTCCATATCCACCACCCAAATGTTGCTTGAACCTCTTTATGCCTCCCCGAACCCTCATGTCCACACAGGATACATGTCACCCATCTCTCCTAGCGGTGGTCCCCGCCAAGAGCCATATTTCCACTGGATCATTGGACTTTGCTTTCCTTCTTTGGATCGATCTTGGGATCATACTCAGTACTTCAACCTGCTGCTTGCCATGTTGCTTGTCGGATCGATCTTGGGATCAAAGAAAGATCTGTGCTTTGTGTTGTAGCAGGTGTGTGTGACAGCCCAAGCACAAGCGTGCATTTGTATATGTGAGTACCCATATAATATAAAAAGCAAGCATCAAGAAAAGCAGAGAAGCATATAGATGATGTGAAATAAATATTAGAGAAGGAGGAGGCGGGGACGAGGCATCCAAAGATGAGCATACAATATTCGATTGAGGTCAATAGCGAGCACGAGAACGAGGCATACAATATTCAGATCAAAAGCAGAGGCGAGGCATACGAGGCATTACTATATTCACGTAAGCGAGTAGCGGGGGGGCATACCACAAAGGCGCGCAATGACCGGAGGCAAATCTTTGGAGGGGGCTCGAGTGGCGAGCGGAGGCGCTTTCTTCTCGGTGGAGCCCCTCATGGTAATGGCTCAGCGAGTCGATTTCCCCAGCAGCGGTCGTCGCAATTCCAGCGCCAGCGTGGTCGATTCTGCATGATCCGCGGTCATTTTCGCGCCCCCTCCCTGCGAATTAGATTATGGCGTCATTTGGAGAGCTCTAGGCGTCCGCCTGACGCCATTCGTGCCTAAGCGACGCCCTAATCTGCTGAGGCGGACGCCATCTGGCCGAGGTCGTGGCGAGGACGACGCCCAGGCCCTCGAGCACGCCTTGGCGCCTAGGCGACGATTAGGCGACGCCTCAAAAACATGGGTCACTACAGTGCTAATGTTTACACCGCCACACACCCACTCATGTTCCTCCTCTCCTTCCCATCTCTGATTCCGTGAGCTTGTTAGCAGTATTACCTAATCTTAACAAATGATACAAAATTACCCATATGCTTTCAGATTTATATTTGTGTGCACCAAAACTTCAACAATATAATAAGTGACTAGTCAATAATAGTTGAATTAGATTTCTACACAAAACAATAATCATGAAAACAAAAGCGGATGATTTATTTACGTGAACAAAAGGCTTACATGTGGCTCCTTTCTAGTAATCTTATTCTTCATACTAAGCCATTCCTGTGAAATGAACAATGTAGGATTGTTAGGCAATGGCATCTACAGTTGGGCCATCTTTCTCAAGAGACAAATAATATTGATCATAAAAAGTAATCATGAAAACAAACAATAAGATAAACCTGTTGCTCCTGTAGTTTGACAGTCAAGGTTTCTGTTGTCTTTTTGTAGAACAATCTGTCCACGCAAAAACTTATAGTTACTGTATGTTACAACTTAGAACTTATGGTATGTTATTTTCAAGGGATATAGTTGCACCTTTTCTCACTGAGTTTCACAAAAGTACTTGCAGTTTCCTGATGGAGGAGCTCCAAGGTCTCAAGTCATGAAGGGTGGAAACGAAGTTAGACATTTGAATATACTCAACTTAATATTTAATGTGGTTTTGAAAGTTCCTTCAAGATATTTAAAATGAAATAAGTTATATGGTAGAGTCATGGCGCAAATTTGTATCTATTATTAAGACAAGATGAGCAAAGGTCAGATATTCACAAACTAGTGAAAATATAGGGAAGATTAAGATAATATGACTTCGGTCTTGTAGGAAAATTTGTTCGGGGAGATTACCATTAAACATGCTTCTTTAAAGAACAACTTATGTCCCAAACAATAGCCTGTGTATACTGTTGAGTTTCCATTTTGCAATGATGAAAAAAGAACTCATTCTTTAAGACAAATAATAGTTTTAGAAAAAGGTAAATCTCACATAAGAAACCACTTATAGGATATGCATCTTATAGTCATGAAAAACCAATAAGTAAATCCAGATTATGTTACCATAAGCAGCATAGTCATAGCAATTACAAATATAAGTAACATATGTCTATTGCCAAAAAGAAAAAGAAAAAAACTTAAAAATGTTTGAAGTCTTGATCAAAATTGATTACCATCAAGGAAGCTGAGTCTAGTTCAGTTGGTTGAGGGTGTGAGTATACACCCAGCCACATATGTTCAAGTCCACGTCGAGGTGAATTTTTGTGCCTATTTTCTTCCTAATATACAAAGCTACCTATTTCCTACTAGATTCGTCTAGTTTTCTTTAGAAAATATGATTAACAGCTGGCAACATTTTTAATCCAAGGCACCCAAGAAGACCCCAGCAAGAACAGTTTTGTCATGAATTTTTAGATTTTAGTATTTGAAGGAAGGAGAGAAGGGAAGGGGAGCCTTGGCGCAGTGGTAAAGCTGCTGCCTTGTGACCATGAGGTCACGGGTTCAAGTCCTGGAAACAACCTCTTGCAGAAATGCAGGGAAAGGCTGCGTACAAAAGACCCAAGTGGTCGGACCCTTCCCCTGACCCTGCGCAAGCAGGAGCTACGTGCACTGGGGCTGCCCTTTTTAAGGAAGGAGAGAAGGACATTTATAGGATGGATAGGGCTCGCGAGACAAGGAACTTCAACTAAGTTAAGTGCATAAAGGATGAGAGGGAGCAGCTCTTGGTGAAGGAAGATGAGATTAGATATAGATGGCAAGAGTATTTTGATAAATTGTTCAATGGTGAGAACGAGAACACCACCGTTTAGCTGGACGACTCGTTTGATAACACTAACAGGCGCTTTGTGCGGAGGATTCAAGAATCGGAGGTCAGAGAAGCCTTAAAAAGAATGAAAGGGGGCAAAGCGATGGGCCCTGATGGCATCCCAATCAAGGTGTGGAGATGTCTCGGGGATATAGCTATAGTATGGCTAACCAAGATGTTCAGCAATATCTTTCGATCGAACAAGATGCCTGAGGAGTGGAGAAGAAGCATATTGGTACCAATCTATAAGAAAAGGGAGATATCCAAAGTTGTACTAATTATCGTGGAATTAAGTTGATGAGCCACACTATGAAGTTATGGGAGAGAGTCATTGAGCAGCGCCTGCGAGAAACGATGCAGATATCAACAAACCAATTTGGTTTCATGCCCGGGAGATCAACCACAGAAGCAATCTTCTTAATAAGACAGATTATAAAGCGGTTTAGAGAGCAGAAGAAGGACCTCCACTTGGTTTTCATTGACTTAGAGAAGACTTATGACAAGATACCAAGAAATGTTACGTGGTGGTCTTTGGACAAACATAAAGTCCCATCAAAGTACGTGACCCTCATCAAGGACATGTACAACAATGTTGTGACTATTGTTCGAACAAACGATGGTAACACAGATTACTTCCTGATTAAAATTGGACTTCATCAAGGGTCAAACCTTAAGCCCGTATCTCTTTGCCTTGGTAATGGATAAGGTTACCAGGAACATATAAGGGAATATCTCTTGGTGTATGTTGTTCGCTGATGATATAGTGTTAGTGGATGAAAGCCAGGTGGGAGTAAATAGGAAACTAGAGTTATGGCGGCAGACCCTTGAGTCTAAAGGTTTTAGATTGAGCAAAACTAAAACCGAATACATGAGATACGACTTTGGCGGAGTTGTACAGGAGGAGGGAGATGTGAGTTTGGAAGGTCAAGTAGTGCCTAAAAAGGATACCTTTCGGTATCTGGGATCGATGCTACAGAGGGATGGATATATTGATGTAGACGTTAGCCATAGAATCAAAGCAGGATGGATCAAGTGGCGACAAGCTTTTGGCATTCTCTGTGACAAGAGGGTACCACAAAAGCTAAAAGGCAAGTTCTATAGAACGGTGATTAGACCGGCTATGTTGTATGGAGAAGAATGTTGGCCTACAAAGATTCGACATGTTCAACAACTGAGTGTTGTAGAAATGTGTATGTTGCGATGGATTTACGGTGACACAAGAATGGTCCGAGTTCGGAACGATGATATACGTGATCACCTAGAGGTAGCACCAATTGAAGAAAAGCTTGTCCAACATCGGTTGAGGTGGTTTGCCCATGTCCAAACTTCCAGAGGCACCAGTGCATTGTGGAATCCTAAGCCAATCTAATAATACAAGGAGAGGTAGAGAAAGACTGAAATTGACATGGGGGGAGGCAATAAAAAGAGATTTGAAAGCTTGGGATATACCTAGAGATCTATGTTTGAATAGGAGTACTTGGAAAGCAGCTATTGAAGTGCCTGAACAGTGCTTGGGGCTTTTGGTGGGTTTCAACTCTAGCCTACCCCAACTTGCTTGGGACTGAAAGGTTATGTTGTTGTTTTAGATTTTAGTATTTATTGTAGTCAGAGTTTTCTACACGTGCGAGTGCCCCTGGATGAACGTCGTGCCAGCCTCACGTGCCTCACACAACTCATGCAGCTCCTCCAGCATGCTCTCGCCCACGCCGGGGCTCCTGGGCGCCACCACTGTGAGCCTCACCTGCTTCTTGACGACAGCCGACACCAGAGCCGCCGCAGCGAGCTCTATGCCGTCCACGTGATCAGAGCCAGACGACGCGCCATCGTGGGAGCGGGAGTCGTCCTAGTCAAGCCTGGTGGTGCCACGGTGTTTGCTCCCGATGACCGTCGCGTGTTCTCGAGCTCAGTAGTCGCCGCTTTGTCCGGCCATTCTTCGCCGCCGCCCGGCGTTATTGCCGCAGTGAACAAAGACGTCGAAATGATGAACATGGCGAGGCTCTCGATGAGCTCCATCACGAGGAGTCCACTTCGGTGCACGCCACGGTAGCCATAGCACGCAATTCAAGAAGGGAGCGGTGGTCCAAAGACGCCGACGCGGCCGATGAGGTAGCGCTTCGCTCGGCGGTCTGGCGGGACCTAGACAATGACCTCTTGGCGCAGCCGACGGGTCAGGCGAGGGGCACCCTAAGCGGCACGCGTTCGACGCGACATGACAAGGCGGGCACGACGTTGGCAAGCGGCGTCGTTCGCTAAACGAGGCGCGATTAGCGCGCGGCGGCGGAAGAAATACGCCATGGGCAACCGCAGAGAAGCGCATGGACAAGGCGGGGTGCCGCGTGGGTTGCCAAGTCGACAATTGGTCTAGCTAAGGCCCATTTGGACCTATGATGCAACATGGGCCAAGTTTCTAGAGGTTAGATGTGCATTTTAGGTGTCCAGGGACCTAGATGACACGCTACCCAAGTTCAAGGGCCGCCTTTACTCCAAATATAAAGTCAACAGAACATGAAAAGGATGATAATCATATCCTGTTTGGATTTGATGAATTACAAAGGAAATTTGTAGGAGCCACAAAACGGAGGAAAGGACCTCTAAGTGAGCGTATGGAACACAGGAAGAGCCAATTACTTTCCTTGGAATACTGTAGCTAGATGCTCATTTCACAGAAAACCAAAAATCCACTCCAATCTCTAGGTTTTTCCTTTGCAGATACCTGAACAGAATGTATGTAGAAGTGTAGAAGAGAGAGATTTCTTTTCCTTTGCAGATGCCTGAACAGAACGTATATAGAAGAGAGAGAACGAGGAGGCGCACCGATAGTTGATCTATCGCCTTCATTGATGCCCCATGGTGATCTCATCCCTACCACCGTCCTAGTAACCGCTAAGACCTAGCGTCCATGCGGGACTGCTACCCCTGTCCCCAGCACAGGCAGCCACTGATTGCTTTACTTCTTCTCATCACCAGATCAAATCAATGAGGATGGAGGTCACTAAGTGCTTAATTGATGCAGTAAAATGGAGAGAATCAGAACAAAGAACGGAGAGGAATGCTCTATATCGCAGTGGGAAAAGAGCATATGCCTTTTACTGTGTACTGATTAGATAAGCACCATTGGTAGAAAAAATATTTAAAGAAAATGGGTAAAAGAAAATAGGCCTTTTATGTTAGTACTCCACGTTCTTGAGACTGATTTAGTAATATATATTTGCAGCTTTCTTTCAACATAATACTCCACTCCCTGTATTTTGATTCCTGCATTCCAAACACTTTGTCCTTCAACTTCCTTCCCCTTTTCCACTTCTCTTTTTCCCACCTTCATTCCTTTCCTATTCCTAGGTTTACTTCAATTCCCGTGTTTTCCATTCCTACGTTCCAAACATGACCTTAACTCAGAATGAAATCCCCTCAGAAAAATTAACCAGGATAAATAATCAGTTATCGCTACAGGTCTCAGCAACATTTAATTGTTCAAGTGCCTAGTTTTCAACTTTTTTGGCCTAAGAATCAACTGCTACATTTCCTTTCCTCCACCAAATCCTCACAATTTCCCACTAAATAGTAAATAAGCTTACATAACATTTCCACCATTCATCAGTTTTACTAAATACACTAAGCAATGTTCTAGGAAATGGAACTTGGCGAATACTAGAAACAATAATTTCCAGCCCTCACCTGCTTCAGTGTGGCGCACTCGATCTCCAGAGTGGCAATCCGTCCCTGCTTCTGGGCCATCTGCATGCCTACCTTAACCCTCGCTGTGCCCAGCTGCTCGGCCTCCTCGCTCGCCTGCTTTGCTTGCGCCCTCACTTGAAGCAAAAAAACACCAGGCAAAGCCAACACTCGAGACAAAGTTAGCGTACGTTGCGAGCCCGGGAAACCAACACTTGTCCGTACCTAGTGCGATGTCGGCGTCGTGGGCGTCGATGGCTGTACGCTGCTGCTGCTCCTCCACAGACCGCTTCGCGGCGTCGTCCTCGAGATCTGCATCACATCACGCAACCACCCCAATGGTGGCGGAACGATATCAGGCCATAGGTGAGGGAGGGAATTGGGAATATGGGTTGTGATCGCGAGATGCACGCAACGTTCATGTAGGAGGGGAGGGACTTCATGCTCTCCAGGTACTCCTCCATGTCTTACCGGATGGAGTGGCGGCGCGGCGGCGGCGTCAAGGTAGGTGGAGAAGACGATGCAGCTAGCTCCTGAATTACAAGCGAGAGGGAGAGCAGGGGCTAGTGAGGAACTTGATGAAGGCGGCCAGGGACGGCGCGGCGGGCCGGTTCGTCAGAGACAGAGCTGACAGGGAAGGGGCGCGCGGGCTTCCGCGTGGTCTGCTGGACCTGCGGATATGGGAGGCCGGGCCGAGCTCGGAGGGTTCGCCGCCTTGTGCTGGTGCGCAGTGAGGGGAGTGGGCTTCGGAAAGGAGAAATAGAGGAGACGGGCCGAGTGGGAGAGAAAGGGGTGGGCCGCTCGGGCCCGAAGTGAGAGAGAGGGGGAGTTTTCTAAAAGAAAAAATCTACATTACCTCCCTCAATTTTTACGAAAATTTATTTTTCTCCCTGAACTCTAAAACCATGTTAACCACCTCCCTAAACTTTTAAAACCGTCGTTTTACCTCCCTGACCGTTTATAAGTGGTTTTCAAAAGCGGTTTTGTCTTTCTCCTTTTTATTTATTTCGGCTAAATCTTTAAAAAAATCATAGTAAATCGTAGAAAAATCATAAAATATAAAATCTAATTTTGTTGGACTCCATATGAGTAGAACTACACAGTGAACATATAATATGATATGCTTTAGTATAATTTTTTTGTTATAGCTTTAGATCTATGATTTTCTATAAAAAATAATTCATAACTGTAGTTTCTATGGTCCAATTGTGGTGAATTTTTTATGATGGGCTAATTATTGTATGCTTGAACTGTAGTAAAAAATTCATACTCATTGGATCATGTATAACTTAGTTAGACCATAGAATGTAGCAATGGATTAATTACATAAAAGCATAGATCTAAAGTTACAACAAAAAATTTATACTAAGCATATCATATTTTATGTTCATTGTATAGATCTACTCATGTGGATTCCAACAAAATTAGATTTTCTATTTTATGATTTACTATGATTTTTCAAAGATTCAGCCGAAATAAATAAAAAGAAAAAGACAAAACCGTCGTTGAAAACCGCTTATAAACGGTCAGGGAGGTATAACGAACGGTTTCAAAAGTTCAGTGAGGTATAACGAACGGTTTCAAAAGTTCAAGGAGGTGGTTTACGTGATTTTAGAGTTCAGGGAGAAAATAGACTTTCGCAAAATGTTGGGGGAGACAACGTGGACTTTTCCTTTTCCAAATAGAAAACCTTTTTTTATTTCGAAGCCACCACAAAGCAAATCCTTTTGAGTAGTTTTCAAACTTAAATATTTCAAGATTTTGAAACAAATCCAACACTTAAACTTTTGAAATTTGATTGAAAACAACTATTTCTCAACTTATTTTTAAAGCTAGTTTAAACTAAATTATTTTTAAGCTTTTAAATCACATTTTTAGAATACTTTTTCTTTAAACTCTCTTTTGGAAAACTTTTGAAAACCAAAAATAAACTCATTTTTGAATACTTATTTTTGAAATGAAATTTTGAAAACTTAAATGAGGGAAAACCTAGTCGAGGCTTAAATGAATTTTATAAATTCTTTTTCACTCAAATAAAATTATAAATTCAGCATGACTGCAACACCACTAACCAAATTAATTAGAAAGCTTTTACAAAACCATTTTTCATTTACATAATTTCTCACACGAACTAATGATAAGAAAAATTTAGAAAAGTCAGAAATTACTTATTTAATTTGATGTTTTCTATTCACAACTTAAAATAGGATTTTTTGTAGTGTGACAGCCTCCCTCATTGACGCCCGCGCACCATCATCCATCTCCACAATCCTTGATTCTCATGCCCCACGACGCGGCCACGATCCTTTGTCTGCTCCTCCGCTCCGCATCCGGCTCCTTTGCTACCCCTCCACCGCAGACGGCCTCATCGCCGTCGTGAGCCTTGACCCGCCGATGCACTACGTCTACTCTGATGCTGTCCGGTGTGTGTTTTCGATAGTATTATGTATACTTAAGTGTGTTACTAAGTGTTGTAATGCCTCATAAACTTGTATTTTCATGATGTATGAACTATGGTATCAATTGTTATTTGATAATGTGATGGCATGATCTTTAGGGACTATCACATTTAACTCATATCTGTGGATTTCCCTTCTAAAAAATCAGGATCGTTACACAAGCCTACCTGCCTCCTTGGCGGCGCCCCACTCCTCCCTCATGGCTTCCCATCTCAGCATCTCCACACCTTGAAAATCGGGATCGTTACACAGGCCTGCCTACCTCCTCGGCAGCGCCCCACTCCTCCCTCACGGCTTCCCGTCTCAGTGTCTCCACACCTTGACTAGCCCCTCGGGTTAGCCCGGCCTACCGGTGTTGGGCTAGCCTGAACCACGTCGGGGCGCACGAAGGCGGAGCAGCCTGCCTGCCTCCCCGGCGGTGCCCCACTTACGCCTCGGAATGGGTCGTGATCCGCTCCAAGCCCCACTCCAATCCTGTGAGATTAGGTTGTAAGCCCGATCCTGTTCCAACTTGAAACTATAATATATACTCCGATCCAATCTGATCCTTCACTTCACTCTATCCTAACCCACTTCTGATCCTTTTAGATCCTACGGGCCGATCTAGTACTGACAATCTAAGGGCCGGCACATATTATATTCAAATGTACTAGCTCAAGCACAAAACATCAATACTGACGACGGTCCAAGGGCCGGCACATATATTAATCCAGTTCAGATAACTGACAGATAATCAATAAATTACATCCAGTTCGATTACAATGGAATTAGAACAAGCAAACACAAAAGTTCTGCGGATTGACTGGCAAGTTGCTGGAAGAGGTACAAGATTATCATAGTACTGGCGAGTTGCTTCCTTTAACCATTTGGAGTGAGTGTGCGGCCTAAACACCTGCAAATGAATCAAATATACATATGTAAGGGAAGAATATATATTTTCAACAATCTTATAGTACAAGGATTTCTACACCCCTTTCCAGTTCCCTCAACTACAATAACAGATCAGTATAGCTGATTGGCAACTGATTGTGATTACAGTACAAGGATTTCTACACCCCTTGACCGCGTCCTGATCGGGGACACACTACCGACCACTGGTCGGCGGGCCACTATCACACATCGCTATAAGAGAGAGGTGGGGACCAGGGCGCTAGACACGAGGTTCGACGCCGCCACTGACCTCACCGAAGTAACCCTAGAAGGCCCCTCCGATCATGGGCAGCGCTGCAAGTGACAGGAAGCTCCACCGGTAGCGCCTCGTCGTCTGGACTCTACCACGCCTCATCCTCTAGACTCTACCGTGCCTCCTCCTCTATCTCCTCTGCTAACCCCAAAGGTATGGGTCTCTCTCTCTCTTTCTCTGTCTCCCTCTCCTGATTCATGTTTAAGATTGTTTTTTGAATCAACTAGTGCCGGATTCACCCTCTAATCTACACCTAGATCATCCTAAGAATCTATCAATGGTATCAGAGATAGGTTAATCTAGTGTGTAGATAGTGTCAGGGGTAGCAGTGTAGAAGTAGATGAGAGATTTGATTCGAATATAAGCAAAGGGTTCGATGTGAACCCTAACCCTAATCGGGTGAAGAAAAGAGCAAAGAAGGGGTTCTAGGTTTCGAAAACAACTCAAACCCTAACCTTAACCCGTGAAGATAGACGGAGAAGATGAATAGTAGGGCTAACACTACCCTAACCCTAACCCTAACCCTAAATCGGACTTGCCCAGGAAGAAGAGAAAAGAAGATCCAAACAGAGAGAAGGCGAAGGGGAAAGGGGAAGGGCTAGGGAGGCGGCCTACCTCACCGACCTCCACTCACCGTTCACTCCGGGAAGGACCTCCGTCCTTCTGCACCACGACCATGCTAGGGCACTGTGGCTAGGCCACTTGGCGGTGGCACGCTCACCCGCTGGGAAGCGTGCACGCCGGCGAGGGGGCCAGCGATGGTGCCACCTTCTCTCTCTCAGCTCCAGGGGCTCTCTACGCTCACTCAATTAGTGGCGGCCGCTGAGAGAGAGAAAGGGGAGAGACAGAATGGACTTGGGTTAGGGGAGTGGAGCCGTGCGAAGTCAAGAGCACCATCGCCCAGACCGCTCGACGGTGGCACGCTCAGCTTCAGGCGAGCGAGCTGACCGGCGAGGGGACTAGCGGCGGCGCTACTCTGCTCTGCCTCTCACTCTCCGCCACAACGCTGATGAAAGAAGAGAGAGGATGCAAAGATGGAAATGATCCTAGGGTTTCCACGCGATCGGCCGCTGAAAGGATCAAGATGCCTAAGAGGGGAGGGTAAATTAGGCTAATTCTAAAAATTTTTGCAATAATTAAACCCTACACTTAGCCCACTTCACCCCTTGTGCCTAGAATGTGTTTCTATTGTTCTACCACATAAAAGTTTTGCACCCTAGGTTCCAATCCTACTCTAGCATGGCAATTCTAGGAATGTAAAGACAAGAAATGAATTGCTCAAATGTAAATGCTCAAAGTAAAGAGAGGAAAAGGAACACGGCGATGTTTTCCCAAGGTATCAGAGAGTCACCACTCCTCACTAGTCCTCGTTGGAGCACCCGCGCAAGGGTGTAGCTCCCCCTTGATCTGCACAAGGATCAAGTGCTCTCTACGGGCTGATTCTTCGACACTCCGTCGTGGTGAATCACCCACAACCGCTCACAACTTGAGTTGGGTCATTCACAAGCTCCATCGGATGATCACCAAACTCCCAATCACCACCGAGTCGTCTAGGTGATGGTGATCACCAAGAGTAATAAGCACAAACTCTCACTTGACCATGATAAGGTGGATGCACACTTACTACTCTCCTTGCACTAATGAGGACCTTAATCTTGGATTCTTAAATCTCAATCACCTCACTAGGCTCTTGCTCTCCTTTGCACTCTCAAGGGTGTTTCTTAGCTGAACAAATGGGCAGGAGACCTCCCTTGGATGAGTGGAGTAAGTATTTATACCCCCTCATTTAAAACATAACGTTTGGAGGCTGAGTCAGCATTCTGCGGGGTGACCGGACGCTCCGGTCAGGGTGACCGGACGCATCGGTCAGTTATACCCGCAAAGAGCCGTTATGCTCTGACCGGACTCTGACCAGCGTCCGATAAAAAAAACGCTCTCTGGAACCTTACTGATGTTGACCGGACGCTAGAACCCAGAGTCCGATCACTTTGCTGTTCAGCGTCCGGTTAGTTAACGAATCTTGACCAGCGTCCGATCAAGAAAATCCCTCTCTGGAACCTCTCTGGAGTTGACCGGACACAGGCACCCAGCGTCCGGTCACTTTTCACTCAGCGTCCGGTCGCAACCCAACGACTTCAGTTGATCAAATGAACTGACCGGACTCATGCTTCAGCATCCGATCACAACCAGACCAGCGTCCGGTCAGTCATTTGACCCTCCATTCACTTCCAACTCAAAATCTTATGTGAATGAAGTTTACTCCAATTGATCTTAGGGCTATTCCTGAGCTACCTAGTGCTAGATTTGATAAGTGTGCACCACACCTAACCCACTAGACTCACCTAGGTCAAGCTACTAGTCCATACCCCCCTTAATAGTATGCCCAAAGGAAAAACAAGATCCTAAACTACTCTAAGTGTCTCTCCAACACCAAACGACACTTAGAATTAGTCCGTCCTTAACCTTGTTGTCCATCCTTTGAAAACCGAAATGATTTCCATCGATAGGGGGCATGACAACCATGATTGCCCAATCAATTGCCATTACCATGACTTAACTTAAATTGCCTCTATAAAACACACGTTAGTCATAGTAATCTCGTGTTGTCATTAATCACCGAAACCCAACTAGGGGCCTAGATGCTTTCAATCTCTCCCTTTTTGGTGATTGATGACAACACCACCTCGAGTATGTAGAAGAGATAAGTGAGGTTTTCAACATGCTTGGTCCATATAAGCTTTTGACAATAAGAGCAAAGGGGTTAGACATGCTTATATGATCCAAGCCAACATGGTGTACTCAATAGATATGAATTAAGCATCAATACATGAAATAAAGCTCATTTGAATCAGGGTAAAAATGCGGAAGCAAAGCAAATGAGCATAACCAAGTGATATGATATATATATATAAAACAATGTAGAGAGCACACATGTCACATAAGTCTCACCATCACAAGTATGTAATGCAATGCATGAAGGTAAACGTGAATGCATAAAGTATCACACATAAACAGCTAAAATAAATGAATCACATGCTCCCCCTAGATCTAACATACTCACTCCCTCTCCCCCTTTGGCGTTAAGCACCAAAACCTAAGGGTCGAACGGCGGGACAGGAGCAGTCGAGTCAGGCGCTGAGGTGCGGTGAGAGATCTAGAACTGAGCAACATCATCCTCTGACCCTAAACTCTGAGCGGTCTGACCCTCTGTCGCTGGAAGTGAAGGTGAAGCGGTCTGGGTCTGCTCAGTAAGTGGCATAGCCTATGACTCTAGAAGTATTACTATAGGAAGTGGAGCCACATCTGTCGCTATCGCTGTCACTGAAGCCTCAAGTATAGGAGTGACTGTCTGAGGTGGCTCGGATGATGCAACAGACGATGGGATCGTCTCAGTAGTCCCGATAACTGGAGCAACTGTGGTAGGAGCTGGAACTCGGAATACTGGAGGTGTGGCTACCCTATAAGCTCACTGAAAGTAGCGCTGAGACTCCTAGAGACTGGGGTGTCCGTCACTAACCCTGAAGAACTCTGAGTCAGAGTGAAGCCAGAAAAATAGGGGTAAAGTGCGGACCCTGCATAGTCACTAGGGAAGCAAACCACTGGGACACCTGCTCTATAGGTGAAGCAAACTGAGTAGCTAGTGGTCCCTGACTCTGAAGCCCACTAGGCTGTACAGCTGGAGTCACTGAAGTGGTGGCAGGCTGGCCGATCTGAGGTGTAGACTATGGAGGAGCAGCCCCGATAGCAGAGAATATGTGCTGCATGAAGCCAAGTAACTACTGCTAGATCATGAGCTGCTGCTGCTGCATGGCCTGCTGCTGCCTCTAAAACTCATCCTGGCGAACCTAAACCTGAGCAAGTGTAGCTGTGGTCTCCTATGCCTAGCGTGCCTGGTCCTGCCTCATCCACTCAAGTATGGCTAGGAGTGCAGGGTCTGTCTACGGTGGCTATGGTGGAGCTGGCTGGAGCCACCAGCCTCACTGTCATGTGGACGAGGTGCCATATGCGGAATTGGCTG